TTGTGGGGTTTGCGCGTGTATATTTATACCTCGGATGCGTGAGTCAAACATGCGCTAACATCGAGACCTAGGTGCGGGGATAATCCAAATAATTGTGTGAATGAGGAGGAAGTTGAGGATCCGCACGGCTGGCGACCGGACTAAGGGGTTGAATAACAACAATCCCAACTGAAGGTCCCGTGATGTGACTTTCTCAGCCGGTGCTTCACCTGCGAACAGTTTAACTATTTCCTTTTCGCTCAAAATTCCTACCGTCTGAAAAAGGCCTTGCCTGTCCAACGTGCGTGATGGGAACCCAAGATCAAGCACTTTTGATCTAACGCGTGCAGTGCCAGAATCCGAACCTTTTAAATTGTTTATGTTAGTGCTACGTGTTTTTTGCTGGACTTGTTTGTTTACTTACGCAAGCTTGGCCGTCTTCTTTTCGTCATGGTACAACAAATTCCGTCACTTCTTGACATTACCATGAACCTTTCTTGCTCGGGAATCTCACCTTTCGTTTCGCTGACGCACCGGTGTTGTTTTTTTTTCGTCTAAATCATTCGCCGATTTGATAAATCCGGATTTCACTCATTTGGACTGTTTCGTGATCTTTGCCTTAGCTACGTAGACCTTCACGGATCGTTTTCTATCTGGTGTGTGTCAATTTTTAGACAGTTTTTATTAATGCCCATGGTATGTGACTGCCTTCTTTCATTAGCACACCTTCCCAGTTCAGTCGTGACTCACTCAAACTGTTTCACTTCCTTGTTGGTCGCCTGGGCTTCGACTGATTACTTACCCACTCAAAATTGGCGATTGATAGTCGATTAGACAACCACTTCAGGCACTATTGGGTTGTGAAACATGCCTTCTTTGTCTACTAAAAAACACCCACATAAGGTTTTGAGGGCACAACGCTGAAATTGGCTCTTTCACTGTCCAGTCGGAGGCAGCAAATTTAATGCAGGACCGAAGGTGCCTTAGCATTTACCCCCTCGCCAAATCGTCATCCACCGTTGTCTCCTAAGACTGCATTTGATTGGCTAGCCATCCAGCTGAAATTTAGCTGCTATATTTGCATTCCAGGTTTATGCGCGACGAGAGGCTGTTTTTTAACAGGTAACACGGATGGCCACCTTCCTGCTAGTTTAAAATCACATTCAAACAGAGATTGTTAAAAATCTACTTCGTGTGGCGCCTTGTTGATCTCGCCTGGTGACATTGACAGGCGTAAATCGTAAACAGTCCTTTCGACGCTCACTTCCACGAATGCTTCAATCCGGAGTGTTCGCTTGCAAAGCGCTTTCCATGTCGCAACTGGACCTGGCGTAATGCATAATTTGAATCAAGATGCGATGGCGGTCGGAGCACCCCAGCTTCCACCACGAGTGTGAAATCCTGAAAATCGTTGATGGAGTCTGACGCGGCCTAATTCCACCCACTGCAAGGTCTCCTGGTTTTCCAAACTGCCGATGGGCTCCACGAATCTAGGCATCGTATTCCCAAAAAAACTCACAACTGAACCAACCAACCATTCTTTAAATGCTGAACGTGCGTGGCTTCTTCCACAGAGACATCCACTCGAGAATTCCCTAGTAATCATCAACAACAACTCAATTTACCGTGTTAATTAGTCAAATTAGCCATTTAACCTAAACTTCCGTTTCGACTGGTCGTTGTAGTCCTCTCATTTTTTGTTAAACGCACCAGGTGACGTCATCACACCGCTGTGATTTGTTTACACTGGGTGAGGTTTTTCGGGTTTGTACGCGGACGGACGCGTCATCGCCCCCTTCGCGGCTACGTGGTCTGACAAGTCTGTTTGCAGGCACCAGGGAATTGATTTGAGGGTGAAGTTCGCGCAATTTACCCAAAAAACATGACGATTTTAATTGGAAAGTGAAGATGCAAATTAAGCCGCTAAAAACGCTACATGGGGGTCTGGTAATGCGTTTTTTATGACCTAGCAAAAGCTCGATTCCCGTGAGTTTACGCAAGGACCCCACAGCGTATCGGTGGGTAAAATGTCCTTGTTCCCCGACGGCTCAACATCCAAGGCCCTGCTTGTTTGACTGTTTTTTTTTGTTTGTCCGTCACCGCGTGTGTGAACCTAGTGGGGCTGTTGTTTATTAACTTCTAACGTTAGCCGCCGTGGATCACTTCTACCCACCTGTTCAAGTGTTCGTAAGCTACACAACCTGTAACTGGCCGCGGGGCGACGATGTTTGGATGGTTTTTGTTCCAACTCCACGACGGAATGTTGGTTGGGTCCGTGGAAGGCCTTGGCGTGTTGAGCAGACCCGCATGCCCTTCGTGGATGTCCTCGAAGATCAAGGAGACGACTGGAGGTGGCAGAGACGCAGCCGTTTACCAGACAGCTCTGCCTAGTTGCCTGTCACGCAACCACCAACCATCTGGGCTGCCTTGCGAAAATGGTTCCACGAACCGCACAACGGTAGAACTGCACCCATGCCTCGTCTCCGCTCGCTTCAACAGCCCTAGAAGTGGTGCTCGAACACCTGTTTATTCTTCAAGCACTCACAAGTCCCATTTCGTGGTCCTTATCTTAATTACTTATCTTAACAACGCGTTTGCTATTACTTTGATCCTTGTGCTGCAATTGTTGCTATCTTGAGATTAACTGCAACACACATAATGTGTTGCCGTTGGTAGTGAATCGTTAATAACCCTACCTACCTCCCTCTACATTCCCCTTGCATCGGGTCGATACTGTTGTTTGCCGTGGAATTTTCCGTGAATCTTGCCTCTGTTTACGCCGGGTGGGCTTAGATGTCCCCCCAATGCCACCCTCCACCGTTCTTTGTTGTCTGCGCATTCTGACAGCACGCGCAATCGGACGGGGTGTTTTGCGCGCACGGAAATTTTAGATTTTGTGGTCAGATATCCCGCCACGAGCGCGTCAATGTGACAAGATTTTGCGGCACGGGGCTCTGTTTACAAGGTGGCGAGACGAGTGTTTGACAACCACATCGGAGATTAGCCGTTTTTGGCCCGCTCGTGGGATGAGTTTTCGCGGTGCCTCGACGCCAAAATGCTGTTGATAGAACCGCCGGCCGTCATCTGCATTATTTTTTGCCCTCTTTAGAACGGTTGGACTGCTCTGCACTGGGCTGCCCAGCAAAACCGCGTTGACGTCGCCTGCATTCTCTTGCGAAACGGTGCTAATCGGAGAGCCAAAGATTGCGTAAGTCGTTGTTATGTTTGGCCGTAATAAAGAGAAAACACCCACTCAAATAACGGTACCAGAGCCCTTGTTGACGCTAACACCGACCTTCCCACGCTAATACAAGATCAAGACCAGAGCTCGTGTAGAGAGTTGTAGTCACATTCTCCAAACATCCGCTTGAGATTTTGAACGGTTTCTCAAAAAGTGAAGTCTAGCAAGAACATGGGGACGATCGTGTCCGTGTATCTCTTCAGTTCTGCTGGACCCGATTTGCGGGCGAGGAGTCTGACCTTCCATGCGTCGACCTGAGACGTGAGATCGACTCGGAACAGGTCTTCGTAACGCCGATACTAGGACTTGAACGTTACGCGGTTCTCCGGATCATAGGAAAACTCCGAGATACTATTGGTGATGCCGTCAATTGACGGTGTACTGGCAGGAGCGGCCTGAGACGACTGGCGATCTGCAAGCATTGAAGCTAGCCTTTCGAGTAATTGTACCACTCCCTTGTCACTCATCTCATCCGCGTCGCCAAATTTTGTTACGTTTGTCCGTAACAAGAGAGAAAACCACTCAAATAACGATGCCAGATCCCTTGTTGACGCTAGCACCGACCTTCCCACGCTAATACAACAACGACCAGAGCTCGTGTAGGCAGCTTTAATCACTTCAACCACATGCGGAGTGGGTTGTCAAAAGTGAAACAAATTCGAGTCAAGGTTGACCTTGATCTGATAAGAAGCGCAATAAAACACATGTTGGGGAATGAGTGTAAATAGTGCCAAAAACCAACGATGAGCAATCTTGGGGAATCGTAGATCCCCACCAAAGTCCTTGTGCAGCACCATATATCAACCGTACACCCACTGCAAACTCGCTGGCTGGATTGTTGAGGGCCCCGTCATGTGGTTTAGAGCTACACCCCGGTTCCCCTAATGAAGACTGGAAAGGCGAAGATGCCTCAAACTAGTAGTTGTTGCCGTGGCTGCGTCTGACTAATGAAGTTGGTGACTGGGTGGCCAGATGAGTGAAATGTGTAGTGGGGGTGGAAGGCACACGCACGGGGGTGAGTGAGCTGACGATTTCGCTTGATTGACGAGAAAGCTGTGAAATGGTGGCTGGTTTGTCACTGGATGCGGCGACAGCGTTGGTGGACGTGAATCGACTCTGTAGTGGCTTGTGGTCTAAGCACCACCTTACAACCCTCTAGTTAACAGCACGTAACAGCCCGAGAATGGAGTAAAGGGAGGCGACCGTGAACACGACCGTCTATTAGCGTCACGCCAGCCAAGTGTGCGGATGAGTGAATGGATGACAGGCGTCTGACAACAGTAGCCAACGAAAAGGCGGTGAGTCATTGTCACCGTCAGGTCGGTAACCCGGGTTCACTCAGGCGCGATCGCTGTTAATCCGCTACATATGAAGGTGCCACCCCCTAACGCTACTTGTGCCGCAATCTCAGTCCACACCCTGCTCCAATTTGTGTTCGTTACCTCAAGGAGGATCGTCATTCAAATTTCCAGAGTTAACGGTCTCACTAGTGAAATCAGGTGTGTATGAATTACCACGATAAAGTGTGTGCGCGCAGCTGTGTCGCCCTTTCTCCCAATTCACAGTTATGATTGTGGGTGTGCGTGTG